ATTACCCTGATAACAAAACCAGAGAAAGGCCCAGACACAAAAGAGAACTATAGGCTAATTTCCCTAATGAAAATATATGCAAAACATTTCAATAAAATACTAGCTAATAGAATGCAGGAAATCATAAAGAAGATTATACACCATGACCAAGTGAGATTCACCCCAGGAATGCAGGTATGGTTCAGTATACAGAAATCAATAAATGAAATACACCATATCAACAGAGCCAAAACCAAGAATCACATGATCATCATCTCAATAGATGTATAAAAAGCTTTTGATGAAGTCCAACACTCATTGATGATATAAAATCCCCATAGAAAATTGTAATAAAGACTTTTCTCTATCTGAGAGCTCTGGAGCCCCCACCCCCAAGACTGCTAAGTGAGTAAAAACTTCTGCCACCCTCTCAGACCCACAGATCCAGCCCAGCCCAGGCCCAGAGAGTGTGGGAGAGCTTTCTGCTTCCCTGCACCCGTGGGACCTCTCTGAACCAAAATGCAGGCATGCCACGTGAGTGAAACTCTCTACCACACCCTTGGGACCCCTCCAATCCACCAGAGCCTCACCCCAAGCTCAACTAGTGAGTGAGAACATATACTGCATTCTCAGGACCCCCAGATCTAGCAAAAGCCCAGACCTGACTAGTGTGTGGGAGAGCTTCTGTGCTCCCCTGAAGACTCTGGGCCAGGGGCACAACAGACGGGCACCACAGATTCACTGTTGTGACAGAGGGGCACAACAGTTTCACTTTCAAGGCATGCAGCAGGAAGGGGCTGAACACAACAGCTACACCCAGGCCTGACAACTGGAAAAACTCAAACAATAGATTTGCAATTGAATTTCAGTAGATGCTAAGGTTATAAAAGAATGAAAGCTCTACACTAAAGGTCAGAGGTCAGTGTTATACAAAATGACAAAGACAAAGAGTAAAATGCAACCTCAAGCCTCGAGTCCACCCAGAACAAGTGCAGAAGACACTAGCTCAGCTGAAATGAATGAATTAACAGTGTCAGAAGTAAAGAAACAATAGCAGAAAGGTATAGAGGAATTCAGAGCAGAATTAATTCCTGAAATAAAAAAACAAATCTCTCAATTCATAGCATCTGAAGTAAAGAATCAAATACAGAAACATATGGGGAAACCCAATGCCCACCCACAACACGTGCAGAGGACACTAGCTCAGCAGAAATGTATGAATTAACAGCATCAGAAGTAAAGACACAATAGCAGAAAGGTATAGAGGAACTCAGAGCAGAATTAATTTCTGAAATAAAAACAGAAATTTCTGAATTCATAGTATCATAAGTAAAGAATAGAATACAGAAACATATGGAGGAAAACCAATCTGAAAAAAATCTCTGCAGTAAAAGAATTAATAACTGACCCTAAAGAAGACATTGATAAAAAAATAGAGGAGATTAGAAAAATGATGGATTCCTTGAATGAGCAATACAGGAAAGAAATAGATCACATGAAGAGAGTGAAAAAGATATAGAGGAACTTAAAATCTCAATCACAAACCTACAAAACCATTTGAGTGAAAGTGAAGTTAGTGTTTCAGATCTTGAAGACACTGGTGTAGCTAGTGAAAAGGTAAAAAAGGATCTCTTAAAAACAACTAGGATGCCAGAAAAATTAATTGATCACCTGCAAGACGATGCAGAGATGAACAATGTTAGACTAATAGGCATCAATTAGAAAGATGGAGTCAATGCAAATGATATAAAAAGAATATGGGCAGAAGTAATAGTAGAACACATCCCAAATAGGAGGAAACAATTTGACATTTACTTAACCGAAGTATACAGAACACCAAATAACTTCAAACCAATTTAAAACACACTAAGAGATATAATAGTCAAGGACCCAGAAATTCAGCACAAGAATAATATACTGAAAGCTGCTAGAGAAAAGAAGCAGATCACATTCAAAGGAAAACCCACCAGAATTACGGTCGACTTCTCTTCACAACCCAAGCAGGCAAGAAGAACATGGAGCAGAGTACTTCAAGGCCTCTATGAAAACAAATTGGAGCCCAGATTACTATACCCTGCAAAACTCTCTTTCAAGTTTGATAGAGAAATGAAATACTCCCATGACAAAGAACAACTAAAGACTTTCATGATGAAAAACCAACACCACACAAACTCCTGAAAAATGTTCTAGAAAGGGACCACAATGAACAGTATGCCATGAATGAAAACAGAAGGAAACCACTAAATAGAGCAAAATTTACACACACGAGGAAAACGAGCAAACAACATCAGGTAAATAATTTGTAAATCGTAAGTCAACACATCTCAATTCTAACCATCAATGTAAATGGACTCAATTCACCAATTAAGAGAAATAGACTGGCACAGTGGATTAAGAAACAAAATCCAACAATTTGCTGTATACAAGAAAAAAACATAACTCATAAAGAAAATCATAGGCTGAAAATCAAAGGATGGAAAACAATACTACATGACACAGCACCTCAGAAAAAAACATCAGTAGGAATCCTGTTTTCAAACAGTCTCAACTTCAAACCAAGAATAATCAAACAAAATAAAGAATGCCACTATATACTGGTTAGGGGAAAAATTCAAGAAGAAGAGGTAACACTCATAAATATCTATGCATGAAAAACGGGAGCACCCAACTAAATAAGACAAATCTTAATGGACATAAAAAACTGATATCTAGTACCACAATCTTAACAGGGATCTTAACACCCCCTTATCCCAAAAAGACAGGTCAACCAGACAAAAAATTAGCAAAGTAGCAGCAGAACTGAACCAGAGCTAGGAAAAAATGGACTTGGTGGACATATACAGAGTGTTCCACACAATGACAGCTGAATGTACATTTTTTTCAGCTGTACAGGGGTCATTTTCTAAAATAGGCCACATATTAGTCAATAGGTCATGCTGAAGTATATGCAAGAAAACAGAAATTGTCCCATGCATATTATTGGACCACAGTGTAATGAAACTTGAAATAAATGACAAAAGCAACCAGAAATATACCCTAAATACATGGAAATTGAACAACACCCTACTCAGCAATCAATGGGTCATAGATGAAATTAAACAAGAAATTTAGCAATACCTAAAATCAATGAAAATTCAAGCACAACTTAAAGGAATTTATGGGATGCGATAAAAGCAGTTCTCAGAGGGAAATTCATAGCTGTGAGCTCACACATTAGGAAAACAGAATGGAGAGCTCACACATTAGGAAAACAGAATGGAAACAAATAAGCACCCTAATGCTACACCTCTGACATCTAGAAAAGAAAGAGTAAACCAAACCCAGAGCCCAAAGGTGGAAAAAATTATAAAGATTAGAGCAGAAATTAATTCAATTGAGATGAAGAAAAGAGTTCAAAGAATTAACGAATCAAAAAGCTGGTTGTTTGAAAGATTAAATAAAATTGATAAGCCTCTAGCTAATCTCATCAAAAAGAGTAAAGAAAAATTCAAATACAAGCAATAAAGAATGAAAAGTGTGTATTCACCACAGACCCAGTGGAAATTCAGAAGATTATTAATAGCTACTGTAAGAATCTTTACATCCATAGAATAGAAGACACAGACGAAATGGACAGATTCCTAGAAAGGCACAAATTACCAAAACAGAATCAAGGAAATGTAACAACTCTCAATAATGCAATAACAGCCAATGAAATATGAAATGTAATAAAAAGCCTGTCTACAAACAAAAGTCCAGGTTCTGATGGATTCACAGATGAATTCTACAAGAAGTTTACAGAAGATATAATCCCTACACTCCTCAAACTCTTCAATTAAATTGAAAAGAAGGGGGCGGGGAGATGGCTCAGTACAATAAGCGCTTCCCTGGCAAGAGTAAGGGCCTGAGTTCAATCCCTGGTTTGGCAAAAAAAAACAAAAAAAAAAACAGCATTAAATTGAAAAGGAAACTGTTCTCCCAAAAGGATTCCTGGAGGCAAGTATTATA